TTTACAGTATCTTCTATCGAATTAAATTCGAGCTTCTTTTGGAGGTCGCATTTTTAACCCTTCCACTTTTGGATGGATGCCTTAGAATTTACTTTACTTTCAGCGTGCATTAGATACACGTACGTTGCTATTCAACTGCCAAGGAGCTTTTCCATGTAGGTAATTTTGTAGACATCAATATAAATTGCGTTTAGCTGCCTTTATTGTATTTGCACTGCTATTGGGTAACTTAAATAAGATTAACTAACTTATTCCATAGCACGAATAACACCTACATTTGTAGTCGACCAATTTTAATTGCGTGACTAGGCATCATGACAGTTTGATCAGTGATTACAATATACAATGTTGTAACTGACCACATCATATCACCCTTACGTAAGTTCTTCAGGAAATTACCCCAAACTTTCAAGTACCCTCAGATTCAGTTCGTCAAATATCAAAAGTTAATCGTGCGGTGAAGGGGGTTAGGGGTAAGTATCCAATTTTCACAGATCTGAATGCAGACGTCTTCATCACAATTAAAATTCGATCCTTGTGCCCAATATCGAAATCTTTGTTCAAGACGCAACTCTACCTTTCGCTTGTCAAAAGTCAATATCTACCCTTTATTAGAGGCATGAGCAAACTCGATTTTGGTTTGAGGCAATTAGATACTCGTCTCCCGGCCCCAAATCCCGCAAGTAACAAATAGACACCTAATATACAGTCACGGATCGATGAATTTTGCTAACTAGTAGAAAGTGAAGCAGGGTGAAATCCCAGTAATCTTTGTTTTTGTAAGCAAATTTTAAATTTAAAGATCATAATTTGGCCTAAATTAAATAAACACGATTTCATAATCCGCTCTGGGACTGTTGTACAACTTAAATATTACCTCGCAAGTTGTTCATACAAAAATTTATTACGAATGGCTCGAGTTGTGTTTTAATTAAAAATAAATTACAGTTTGCGGCTCTTTTCTAAAGAGAACGACTCCAACAATTAATATTGTCAGTAGTGTGGTTTTAGTATTAAATTATGCATAGCAAGAGATTGTATCATTAGTTCTTTTCAAATTTAATTAAAGTGGATTGCGATGGATAATCCGTCTGTAAAAGAACGAAGTTGCTGTACAATATTATTTCGCCATCACAATGCACTATAGTAAACTGCACTGTCGTCTCATGTACTATTCTATATAGGTATACAGTGCGAATCTACAACTTGGAATAAATTCAGTAAATCAAAGAACCTTTTGTGGAAATATGCTCGGGTACGTCGATTAATTGCGCTCTTTTTCAGGTAAAAAAAATTGTATACCGTCTCACGTGAAACTTTACTTATTACTGATTGCTTGTTACAGTTAGAAAATGTATCCACGGCCAACTCAACTATTTCTTAAAAAAGCTGGATTTGTTAACCTCTCTGCTTCCCTTTCTGTCTCCTCCTCCTCTTGGCTGCTTGTACTTCCGTCTGATTCTTCCTCCACCTCCAGTACTCGTCTACTTTCTTTCTTCATTTTGTCTCTGCTGCACTCTTCCCATCTCCCTATGGAAACCCCCAGGCCGCCACCGTTTGGTCTATAGTGGTGTTCCATAGTAAGCAGGGCAAGCAGCTTCCTTTTATTTGTCCCTTGTACTTGGCTACCATCATGTTGTTGTTCTGTACCCTGGCTACTATCCTGGTTACTTCCACTCCTTCTCGGCGTGGCACTCCTCCCGGATACCATGCTCAGACTATATTCGTTTGGGACGGCGGGTCCTCTCGCTTCCTCGTACTCCCCAGCACCATTGTTCTTCGGTGTTAGTCCTCTTCATGATTACTACCCCGAACAGGCAGTCCCAATCCTTATTTATCTTGAGGCATTCTAGGATGTACTCGTTTGCGCTACCTTCAGAAATTCCTCTGTTTATCCAAACTACCTGGTTAATTGTACTCCGTGGCCTGCGTCCCTCTATTCTATCTTTTCCCCGTTAGTTTAATTTAATTCTAGTACTTAGCTTCGCCCTCTTTGTCTTGTTGATTTGATTTCTACACTGTCTAGACCTCCTCGCAATTTAATTAAATCCTCGCGCGTTATTCGTGTCTTGATAAAGACAAATTCCGCTTGGGCTTCGAATGTAAGTCTGAATTAAGCCTGGACTAGCCTCGCGTTTCAAAGTTAACGAGTTCTTTACGAAAGTAAACAAAGTAAACTCGCTAAGCACATCTGCACTCTTTGCGGGCCCGAACTCCACTCCCAGTTGGATCATGTCACGAGATTTTGACCAAAGATTGAAGATGCGAAATTTGTTCCGCGGCTGATAACGAACAACCAAAAAGCCCACCAAGCCTAAGTTTGTCAGGAATTGCTTGAACGCCCACAAGAAGATTAAAACTTTTTATCGAGGATAACAGCTCGCAAAGTTCGTTCTAGTGTGAAGATAATTTTGACAGTTTTCTTTGATGTTCACGGTGTAGTTCACCACGAGTACCTCCCCCAAAGACCCAGAGTGAAACAGACCTACTACATTAAAGTTCTTAAACGACGTTATTCGACCAAAAATGTGGAGGAATCGTGACTGGTTTTTTCTTCACTCGTGCGTTTTTAGGCAAAACACTCGATCACCGTTCTTCCCCAAATATACTGTTATGTGGTGGGTCTCGAAACTCTACTTAGTATATCTTGGAAGGTTTTCAATTGGTCTTTTTTCCTTCGTTGTAATGAAGTCCCTAGAGCTATTCTGGGGTGATTAAGAAAGGACAATAATTGTCCACGGCTGATAACGTGTGTAAATTATTTTTTCACCAACCAATTTCACTACCCTTACTTCTTTTGCTCGATCCTTAGAACGACGCATACACATCCTCCAACGACTCGCTTCACATCACGACGTAGGTCCTATCACTAGACAGGTTTGTTACTTGACGATCATATGACCTTCAGTTGGTTTTGGCGGGAGTTTTGATTTTTGATTTTAAGTCGCGCAGTCGCTTCTCGGCTGGACCTGAGTTATTACAAGTTGTAGGAGTCACAAAGCCGATTTAGGAAAAGGCCACATATTTACTATTAAACAAATGGTGGAGAAGACTTTAGAGAAAAAGAAAAAAAGTATATTTTGCATTTTTGGATTTAAAAACGATGCAAAAAATTAATATGGTAGAGCCTAAAAAGAAAAGGAGTTAGTGTCCAGTTCAGAAGGGCGACAAACAGTGTGTATGTAGACAATAAAGACTAGACAAAGACGGGCAATTATGCAATCTGATACGTTTAAAGTGGAAGACGATCTAAGACAAGGTGGGATACTATAAGTCCTACATTATTTACAATGATTATGGCCGCAAGGGCTAGTAGCAAAAGTACAATTAAGACCAGCTGAAATAAGTGAGAGTGTATTCGCGTGTAGATTTAATGATACTTACTAGCCTATTATTAACCTTTTTTATTTTTTCGGCAGATTTTGAATCATTATTAACCAGTAGTCAATAATCAGAATTGTGATACTGTCTATTTTAGAGATCATAACCTGAATTTTTGTTCTGTCGAACGGTTCCCTCTTAACCATATAATCTGTTAATTTCGAGAACTTCAAAATCATATATTGCTGTGGCCCCACGTCGCGCGCCAAATAAATATTGCTGTCTTTTTAATTATCACTCTTTCTCGGAACATGCAGCTTTTGCTATAGTGAACAATCTCGATAACAATTTAATTTTTATTTATTTTAAGACTCTCGGAGGCATTGAACACTTTTCACAACCGTTGAAACAACTTCAGTTAACTTTCTTCTGCACAGAAATGTTGTGAAAATGACGAACTGCATCTTCAATCGATCAAATCGGGCGAACTCCTTGAAAAAAAGTAGCGTAAAGAGACGTACACTCTTTTTCAACCGTCGCGAACCCAGCCTGCTTTTTTTTATCGTCTACCGTATATAAGAGAACACCACTTTCATTCTAGATTAAATTCCTTCCTCCGGTATTTACAAATAATGCGCCAATTATAATTAGATTAGAAAACGATGGCTTCGAAGGAAAGCACTTGAAGTCCCCTCTTCTTTTTCAAGAGACTCGCGCACATTGCATTATTTTGTCTGCGCCAGATGTGCATTTTCGTTGAAATTAATTAACTTTCGTCCGATTCTTATCGCAAATGACCAGATGTACTCTTTTATGTTTAACACGTACAAAATTTACAACAACCAAAAGAAAGTAAACAAATTAACACCTAATTTCCCCGTTAGAAAAAAGTCTACGGCTCCGTTAAGTTGGAAAGTGGATAATTTTGAAAGGTGTGCGGATAATTCGCGCCCGGATAATTCGCTCCCAGGACATACTGATCCCGGAAAAAATACATTTTCATAGTAAAAAATTGCTCGCTAACAAATACCGCTATCTTAAGTGAAGGATTACCTTCACTCAACGCTTAAAATTAAGTAGATGGCATTTTACAAACAACAAAACTGCACTTTACGCTTTAGTTTTCGGATTTCGAAGCGACAACCTTCTTCAAATGGCGAATTTGCATAATTAACGAACGAAATGTCAAAGTACACCTTGGAAAGGTAATTACGTCGAGTAATAAATTTGTATTTAAATTTATACTCTGAAACCGCGGGTAATAAATAATGAGGGGTAATTTTTTTACCTTTACCAAGAAATGTGCAGAACTCGACGTTTAGACGATTTTTCTCTTTCCAAGTTGGAGGATTTTCAGCCACAGATCTACCTTTGTTATTCAAACAACGCCGCTTTGACGGTTTCGTATATCTATAAAACGCAGCCCCCTCTATTTAGGCATAACAATCAGCAAATGCGAGAGAGAAATTTGGACAAATTTTAATCGGTTTGGGTTCAGGGTTGCACTTCTAATTAACTTAGTTGGGGCTTTTCAAACTTTTTAGCTTTGGTGACATGCCGAGTTTGTGTAATTAATTTTGTTTTTTGGGCGAAGTTTTGATGATTGACGTTTCACATCACGAAGCAAGGAAAAACACAAATGAAGCGTGGTGAAATTGGTATGATGAATGGAAGTTTACCTTTCCCAACTAAGACGTCTTGGAACGTTCGTATCGTCGACGAGCGCCTGCTGTTTGCTGCCTTGATTTAAAAGGCGCGTTAATTTATACAGTCCCGTGCCGCTCGTGCTGGGACTCGATATCCTGTACGCCCTTGCAGCAACGACGTGAGGAGCTGGAACCCTGCAACAATAATTACTGTTACTACAGATAAGCTTCCACTCTATGTAAATTTCGCAATCTTGTCGCACTATAAATTGGTAGTAGAAATCGTGTATCTATTGTGTTTATTCAGGCGTCGATACTGAAAGGAGCTCGCTCGTGGAAAGCTTATGGAAAAAATGCGAACGTGAGCCTCTTCGAAAAAATAAAAACATTTGTATTACGACACCGCAACCCTCCTTAAAGATATAATATCCAAAATCGTGCGATGAAAGCAAACGGTGAAAGCTCTCAGTATAGAATAAGAGCACTTTCGTATTTCAGGATGCCTTTGAAACCCATAAATATTAAACGTCTTCAGTTTACATAAATTCGCCGATTGTTGACCTATGCCGAATTTATTTACCAGCTACAAAAAGTGGTCTATATGCTTTAGCATTTCATAGGTCTGTTGCTCGGATCCCATTATTGTTGAAGCAAATCCGTGAACATATTGCACATTGTTGGAAGTAACTGTAATTACATGGTAATAGATTAGTTGTGCATCCCAGGTAGTAACGTAATTTAAAGCTCAACGTATCGTATGACTCCATTTGCGTTTAGTTGATAAAATGAAAGATCTGCTTTTATCTGTGACACTGTTTCAACATTTTGTGAAGGTAATTTTTATAACATACGATACTGTAGAGAAGTTTTTGATGACTTTGATCTTGTGATTGTGAAGTAACAGTTATATTTACGGTTATCATGCAGTTCACCATAATGTTGAACAATTGTGTTTCGAGTTTTTAACATTTGGAATGTTTATGGTTTCGGGTGTGGGGACCAAATTATGAGTTTTGTTTAAGCAGAAAAGATAACGGTGCCGCATCAAGTGACGATTGTACTCTATACTCGACCGTGATCTATACGTGAAGGAGAAGTCGCGGATACTATCGATATGGTACTTAGTTAATAGTGCTCAATTGTTTTGTTAATTTCAATCTAAAACTCTCGCACATCTCCTTTGATGGTGGCACCATGTTTTATGCTTATTATACCGTTTTACATATATTTTTTCTTTCAAATTTGGATTTTAAATTAAAATTGATATAGCGGATTACAGGAGTACAAAAAAATAATGCATATACCACAAGACTAAAGTTCGTCCTAATCCTGTCCTTTAGTCCCTTGGTATATAATATATTATTATTACTTGTATTATAACTTAACATGGGCAATACAATAAACATGGCACATTAAACTAGTTCATCAGAAGGCCGAAGTTTATTTATTTATTTATTGTCCTTCTCTTGTCCTGGGTCCTCAACACTCAACGGGCTTTCGCCCAATTACAGAGTGACCCGCATAATGCTTTTTAGAGGTGCCTCTGCAGAACGTCTTAAGATATTATTTTGATGAGCAATTCCTTGAATATTGTTAGTTTTGTGCTGCGCTTTAGGAGAAAAAATAGCATGTTAGCGCCCGTTTCAGAAAGAATAAATGGCAGGACCAAAATGACCGGGACCGAAAAGGCCAGGACCAAAATGGCCGAGATCGAAACGGCGGGACCTTAATGGCGAAATCTATATGTCATGGACCGTTGCATAATGGTATATTTATCGATGTTTGCTTTTGTGGTAGATGAGTAGTAGGGAGGCAGATCTTTACGCTTAAATATTTTAAGGCTGCCTGGTAAACATTCCAAATCTACGCTATATAATGCTTTAAGTATAAAAATCGTTTGTAGATATATCTCGTCTAGACGTTCCTACCGCCCTTAGAGAGTACCTTCCTACGATACTCGGTTCTGAAGCTATTTGTACTGAAAGTTTTGACATAACCAGTATATGTGTCTCGTTCAGACGTTGCACTTGTCCTTTATGAGTACCTACCCTCTATCGACACTTCATTTTTAAGATATCCGCTTTGAATTCACTAATCGTTTTGACTTCAGCAATAGATATATCTTTTCCAGACGTCCCAATTTCCGTTTGTGAATATCTCCCTCCGATATTTCGCTCTTGAGATATCAGGAATTATAACCGATCACGATAAGCGGCCGAGGAGAAGGACTGTGGTTGGTGAACATGAATTTCTTTCGTTGAGACCTCCCATCAAAGTACCATGAAGGACCAGCCCCTCCTCCCCGCAACTCTCCAATTTGATAAGGCGAAACGAGGAAGGGCGGTAGATCGGTAGTTGGTAGAAAAAAAGAGTTCCTTCGTTGAATCTTATAATTACATCCAGTGTCATGAATGGTAAAATCAATTTCTAACATCCCCACGCAATTTTTTTTATTCATCTGCGTACTCGCTTGAGGTTTAAGGAATATTTATTAACACAGAAACCCAATTTTGAAAGGGATCGGACGTTTCTATGCAAATTTATAGTGCATACGGGTGACAGACGGATAGACAGACAGCAATACAAAATTATAAACGATATCGAGGATCGTTAATAAGTAATAGCAAAGAATCAATGAACGATAAAAAATATGGATGCATGCAAGATGCAAGTATAAAATGTAATTATTGCAATTACAATATTGTAATCAGTAATTGAATAGAAATTTTGTAAAGTACCTAATCAATTACTGTAAATACTTTTATGAAAAAGTAATTTGGAATCAGTACCTATATATCTATTTTGATGATATTTTAGTGAACATTATTAGTTTCTTTATCATTAAACATAATTAAAGGTTGCCAAATGAAATTAAAACAAAAATTATTAGTACAAAATTCATAAATTGTTATTAGAAAAATTAGTTAGCAAAAAAAATAAAATGCAAAGGTACGTTTCCAATAGAAAATGTATTTAATGAGCACAAGTAAATATAAATATACAATAAATGCAAATAATCAATGATCCATGTTACAATCGCTTGCATAATGCATATAGCGAAATACATATAAGTTAGATTTGTTGCAATTACAATTACTATCTTTGGAAATTTGCATTAATTAAGATCTATGGTAGACATATATCTATGGATAAATTCTGATAAAACACAACTTCCAGCAATTGATTATAATTTATTCGGAATGAAGAGAGAGAGAGATGGGAACCTGTATCTAAATCTGCATAGCATTGTCGAACCATTACTAAGTAAATGCAAAAAAAGCTAACTTGTATGTATTTCGTTATGCAAGTGCATAAATAGCGATTGTAAAAATATCATTGATTATTTGCATTTGTTTCATGTATATTTATATTTGCTTTTGCTCATTAAATAAATTTTCTATTGGATACGTACGTACCTTGGCAATTGGCATTTTATTTCTTTCACTAATTGTTCTATTAACAATTTATGAATTATTTATTTATTTATTTTTATTTAATTATGTTTGATTATTAAAAAAACTAATAATTGTCACTAAAATAATCATCAAAATAGATGGTAGGTATATGGGCCAACTGGCTAAATTTATGGGAATGGTTTAATTTTAGAGGTACCAATTTTTCTTTTTACAACGGTGAGACATACCGGGTGGTGCCTAGCGCGACGCTACATAGGGATTTCAATGGTAATTTCTTTATAGTCAATTACTAGCTCCCCTAATTATTTTAGAGCAAAAGTCTTAAATAAGTTTTTTTTAGAGAAAAAAATACTGAATCTGTTCATGCTATTACTCATAATTTTCCGTTTTTCATATCCGTAGAAATCGACAAAATAAAAAGGTTCATTTTACAATAAATCAAATATGCCTTGGAATTACCTAAAAAAACAGCATCACGTTTCATTATTTGCCTTTGGCGTATATTAAATTTATACTTGTTTATAAATTAGTTAAAGAACTGCAAGTGCAATAACGTTCAAAATGTCCGTCAAAACCATCAGGAAAACGACAATACATTCAACGTTTTGGCTGCAGTAGCGGAAAATCCGAATACAAGTTTAGGAACAAATCTTCTTCAAATCAGTTTTTTTTTCTTGGATTATGTAGGTACTCTGATTCCGGAAAATGATAAACAAAAAATATCTGATGCAGATGCACCATACATTCTCTAAAAAAACATTACCCAATTGCCGCTTTTTCTTGCATCGGATAGTTGTAACAGAATTAAATATGAAAATTGTTCGACGTTAAACAACGAAAACTAGATGCGATGCGTTTGTAGTTTGTTAAAAGATTCCAAAGCATCACTGATTTATTAAAATGTAATTTTTTATTTTGTCGATTTCTACGATTTTGAAAAATGGAAAATTATAACTAAAAGTATGAACAGATGCAGTATTTTTTTCTCTAAAAGAAACTTATTTAGACTTTTGCTCTAAAATAATTAGGAGAGCTAGTAATTGACTAAAGAAATTACCATTGAAATCCCTATGCTGCGTTGCGCTAGGCACCACCCTGTATATTAGGATGTAAAAAAGCCCTGATTGCCATCTCAAAGTGGTAGCTAATAGAAATGGCGGCAAATCCAAGATGGCGGAGTTTTGTAAAATCAACTATATCTCTAGAACTATTGGTCCGACTTCATCATTTTCTTTAATGAAAGCTTTTGTGTGTGCTACAATATTGTCATAACTACTTTTTCGATAAAATCAACGATTAGTAACTAATGCATGAAGTAAACTAACGGAAATTTCTTTAACTCTTAATATTTAATGAAAACTAAATCAACCCCTTCGTTACTTTCAAAAGTTTCATATACGCTAAAATCTGCTACCTACTTCCTCCTCTTCTTCAGTGACGTTTGTACACTTTAAGCTTTAAGTTATTAGCATTACATAGTAATGGTAGTTGTCACGATTTTGAAGAAGAGCAGCTTTGTGATTCTACTTGAGGTGATATGGAAGAAAAACTTAGGGTTATCTTTCATCTTCTTTGCTACTTCCGGAATAGAATCTCTTTGACGTACAATTTTCCAGTATATTTTTTGTTTTCACATAATCTGCCAAATTATCTGGCACAATATACACCTTTCCATCAATATTAACAAATTCTTTGCTTACGTTATAGATAAAAGCCGTAGGTATTTGATCGTATTTATTGCAAGACAGTCAGCCTTGTCAGTTGTAAAGTTCCTGTTTAAAGTTAAGCGGAAGCGTGTTTCACGTTTTACGAAGTGCTGTGTTTATCGAGCAGGCGTCGCTTATGTGAAGCCATTCTTTAAGGTTTTCCCAGAAGCTTTTCCACCATTAAAGAGCCAATTTTACATCTGCAATTACAACGAACCCAGTGTCATCCAAATCGAGATACAAGTTTAATTAAATTAGAGAAGTGAAGTTATAGAAACATAATCCGCACCTCGATCCGCACATCATTTGGTATTTGATCTGGTCTTAACATGCCTCTTCAGCTACAATATATCTGTAGACGTAACTACAATGATTTTTGTATTTCGTTTTTCTATGTAATTTCACGAAGTTTCTGATCAGTGTTAAGGTGAAGAACCTGAAGTAATGGTTCCATAGATCGGCTTTCCTTCTTATATTTATATTGAATCCGTAGGCCTGATTCGTTTCAAACGCTTTTGGATTGGGTGTTATGAGTTTGAACTTTCACTATCAGAAGAAGCATATATTTTTGCATATTTTTAACATCTTCTTGATGTTTGGAAGCACTTATTTTATTTAATTTTAATTCAATTTGTTGATCAGCTAAAGCTGTGAATACTTATATGCAATATGCATATCGTTTATTTTTTGATATTCTTTGCATTATACTTGCATATATTGCATATTTTAAGATGTATTTAAATTTTTGTTAGATTTAATCGGTTTTGATTTGAATTTTTAATACTTTTTTGGGGGTTTTTACAACGAACGCGATCATGAAACATACTTTAATAGCTGGAAGGAAGATTTATTGCTTTAATTGATGTTTAATTTAATCATTTCCAAACTATTTTATCTTTCTCTTTCTCTACGGTGTTGATGGGTGATATAGTGGGAGGTTTGGAAATTGCTCCCAATATTTTGTCGTTTTCTAATGCACCTATTGCTTTTGTTGATGTAGAGAGAAGTTTCTCTGATTAGTGCTTATAAATTAATCCTTAGCGACAGGAGGCAATCATTTCGTGCAGAAAACTTAGAGTAAACATCTTATTGCTAGTGTTTATCGTAATTCCTTTGTATTAGAAATTATACAACATATATAATTTTGCATATATGTACATATACGTCAAAACTGTTTGCATATTTTCCACAAATATTCTGTATATATATGCGCATATTTTACCATGTATTGTTTATTAATACAGGTAGTTAAGAAAATTCGGAAAAAAAAAACATTTTTTTAAATTACTTATTAACAATTGATTTTATTGAAAACGTACTTATAACAATATTTAAGCACATACAAAGAGCTTTCATTACAAAAAAAGAATAATGAAATTGGATCAATAATTCCAGAGATATAGTTGATTTTATAAAACTCAACATCCTCAATCTTTGATTGGTCGCTATTTCTATTAGCTACCGTTTTGAGATGGCAATCATGGCTTTTTGGCATCCTAATAAACCTGTATAACCACTGTAAATAGGAAAATTGGTGCCACCAAATTACACAGTCATCGTCATGTTGATTGGTCCATGGACTAAGATACAGTGAGTTTTTTTTAAATGCGAACATAGGAGTTTGCATGCAATGTAATTTCCCTATGTTCGATTTAAAAAAAAACACATCAATCTATGAGGTGTGCGCGGTTCACATTCCCAAATCGCGCAACTTGTGTGACTATGAACAGCAACTCTATAGTCTTTATAATGAAGAGCACTCGGTAAGATTTTTTTAAATAAGCCATGTGAGCCCATAGCAACTTTAGGATACATTTTTCTTAAATTTACGATAACTTGACCTCACAGGACACGCACTGACACCACAACTCATTGTGAACCAACCTTCAATTATTTGTGGGTCATGTGCACCTGGTATTCTACTAATTTGATCTATTCAAAACATAAATGAAGAAAATAAGAAAATAAATACCGAAAACATTTACAATAAATGTTCAAAGTGTCCTCCTTGACATTCTAAGCAATAATCTAACCGATTTCGTAATTAAATTGGACGGCGGTACGGTATTTTAAAAAATGTGACAGCTGTCAATTGTATCTACTACTCATTTGAACTACTCAATAGATTGATGTGTTTTTTTTTAATCGAACATAGGGAAATTACATTGCATGCAAACTCCTATGTTCGCATTTTAAAAAAATTCACTGTATATAACATGCACTCAAACAAGTTACTCGCGTTGGAGGAGGAGGGGGTATGAAACAAAACCAATAGGGATACCGGCAACATCCGGATCATTAATTTACAAGCTTTTCTGAACTGGAATCAATTGGCAGAATGCGGTCCCGGGATTTTGCACATTCAAGTCCCTCTATATTATGGCTTTAGAAAACAGGATACAAAAATGTTGAATTAATGTGGAAGTTATGTTGTTTGAAGAACTTTTGAAATTCATTTGCATACATCTTGAACGTTTTGAATTATCTTGAAGCAGGAAATTACGGCCGTTTCACAAAGATTGTTGTTTTGTATAGCGCAAAGTTGCTGAAGTTTATATGCAGTACAAAAACTGTTATTTTTCCGCACCTCTGAAGTGAGGTGAGGAGTTTTATGTTCTTTTTATAACTCATTGTATTTGTATTCGAAGTGTTTAAAACAATAGCGCGTGCTTTGGACCACAGGCCAACGTCAGATTATGACAGTATGGCAAAATTATTTGTTGTAGAACATTACGGATATTTATATGAATAAGTGCGTGATATAGCAATGAATATACAAAACTACCCAAGTAAGTTGCTCTTAAAATTCTTACCTTAAGAGTACGGTGCCATCCGCTCCACGTTCAGGTCCATAATTTCCCGAACCGCAAAGTCGACTAATCGCCGATTTTCTTCGCGTCTCGACCATTGAGGAATCGTCCCACACCTTCGCCGAATGACATCTTGGTGTTAGGCTAACTCTGTGGGCAGCCAAATATGATGGTGGCGACTGTACTTCTGTAACAATTTTGTCCACATTGAAGCAAAACTGGAAATTGCCATCTCAACGGACGGATATTAAATTTGGTAGATAAATGAAATTTTGTTATTGCTCATTACGGTGCATTCGCTTTTCATTGTCACAACTTATGTTTCCTTCCGTCATTCATGTTCCTTCGTGTTCACGCGATCGCGTCTGTGTAGGGGTGGGTTTTAATTCTTTATCAAATGAAATTGTTGAGCATTCATAACTAATTCGGCCTAACCGAAATGGTTGCGTGTCCCCGAAGCTCATTTCATGAATATTAATTTTCCACTTCAGTTAATTTGAATTGGCATTGTACCGAAAAGCAATTTATCGTCTCATTATTACCGAGTACAAGTTCCTCTAAACAATATTTTCTAAATTTAAGCGGATTTCGTGAGGTAATTAATCAAAGACGAATCTTCGCTTACCTTGGTTATAGTTTCCAAGTTGCGCTTGTAGAATACTCACTCCAGGTACGACAATGGCCGGAAGTGTTCGCGAACGTAGTAAAGGTGGAGGTTTCTTGGCCGTTCTTCCTGCTGACTCTAATCCAGCACATGATGCTCTTTGATCGATGCGTACCGATGCGGTTGTCAAATGCGAGCTGTAACAAGGATAATAGTAATCAATGTTTTATTTCAGTACGTGGTCGCGACAAGAACAAATTACAACATGTACAAACGGCAAAGAACCCCCAGCCTGTGAAACAAACGGAACGCCCTTCACCAATAACGTCATTTATTTATAAACAGTTCAAAGTTCCAGTATCTTTGGCGACTACCTCCAAATATCGAGCGAAGGAAAGACCCCAATCAGCGTTTGCAGGGGTTTGACTGTTGTCTTCTTAACTGCTTAGTAACTTATACTTTCAGAATAGGCCTACGCACTCCAGTGAGGGAAGGAAGATGGATATAAAACACACCACTATGTTAACCAACCTAGCTGCATCGTATTACGAGAAGTTTCATCTGAACCAAGGCACTAACGACCGTAGTAATAATGTTCACATTTTCCCGCCTTCTAATGTGAACGTTTTATATTACAGATGCAAAATCAAAAGTTAGGCCATGGACCGGAAAAGGTCGATTGAACGAAAATGTCATTAACGCAGCGTTAAACAAATTGAAAATACTCGAAAGCGCAACCGATAATCGGAATCGTAATGATTCGGATTTTGTGTGCATAAAAAAAAGTGGTTTGTGCAGCGACTCCGATGACTCGTTCAGCACTTCTCAATTTGATAATCTCGAATTCGAGGGAGATTACCACCCATTTCGCTGCAAGTCACTACACAATCGCCGAACACCGGAAAAAACCGAGAGATCCACCAGTTTTACCGTCAACAACACGATCGAAGTCGCCACCTTGACCGATTTTGAGGGTACCACTAAGACACCCGCAAAGTCCGCGATACCAATCAAACGTGGGACGACCAAAACCACCGGCCCTCAAAGTCTCGAGCAGAAAATCAAACACATAGTCGACGAAGTGAGCGGGCTCGAGGACGAAATTGCAAACTTCTCGGGCCTGGTTTCCGACGACAGAGATTACATCTTCATGGAAGAGGTCATGATGCGCAATTTGATTAAGTTGGACAACCTCAATATTGACAATATGGATTCGAGAATGCTTCGAAAGCAAGCTATACAACTTATCCAAAAGTTGATGAACCGCCTGCAACAGAAGTTGCACGATAATATAGATTTGGATATAAGCCAAAGTCAGAAAGTCAAGTGTTAGACATAGGTATATTGCATGAAGACATTGTGCTGTCGAATAAATTCGTATTATTGTCAAAAAACGTTGGGCTACAAAAGAACAATTATATTAGATCTAATTCATTTCAAATTTCATCATCGCTTTCCACATTAACGTTTAAGAAACTTTTATTCTCTGTAAGTCTAGCGTCCAACATCTTCATGAACTTCTGGATGAACTGTACGGCTCTTTTTCTCTCCTGCCGCAACATAATGTTGTCGTTCGTGTCCAATTGGTCTAACTCGACCAAACCTGTCAAAAGCATCTCCTCCAAGTACTTGTAATCTCGATCGTCGGTCGAACATCCGGAAAAATGTTCAATGCGTTCGCGTAGGTTCTCGATACCGTTGGTGATCGTGTTTATACTTTTTAGTATCTCCGTTTCTCTCGATGCTTGCTTTTCAGGCGCATCGTTCGGCACGTTATCGCCTTTTAGGTACTTCTCGGTGTCGGTTTCTAGCAAACAAGATGAACGTTTGGGTATAAAGCGCGTCTGTATTAATCGCGAGATACCTGATGTGTGTAAGGATCCATTTTCAACGGCTACGTTTTCTTCCAGCTCGTGTGAATTCCTACAGTCCATCGTTTGACATTACACAAAATTGTGTTTAGATGTAAAGCTGCTTTGATCGTGTTTTGCCGAAACGTTTTTTACAGTAACAATTTATTTAATCAATTCACAAGGTTATTTGATTGAAATTAGATATATGTTGGATACCACTGGGCAAGCCAAAGATGTGCTTTTCTGTGGCTTATGTTGATCTGGAAGAATGAAGGAAGTTTTGCGTAATGTACTGAACTGGCAAATCATTTTAAGATAATTAATTTTTTTTACCTACGGCTAGCTCAGTAATAACAATGTTTTTTATGCTCCGCGGAAGTTTTAACCCTTATCTTCTTTTAAATCCTTCAAAATCTGATGTTTTGGTTTGATTGAACTCGTGAGCAATCCGCCTCCCGTACAACAAAATAATTCAATCCTGACTTTAAATTCCCGCTTCCAAGCAAACAATGACCCAGATCAAAACACCCTTCAATTCCAAACGGTCAATTACCAAAAACACTTAAAATGAACTTTAGGCACGAGTCAATAATATTAATCGTAATTGAGCATGAGACTTTACTCTTCGTCGTTAAAGGGATAGAATGAACACACGACTTGCATAATTTTACATAAATAAAATTTATCCTATAATCATATATGAAATTAAACAATAAAATACTATGTAACAGTAATTATTGGAATGCAGTGTCCGAATAAATCAATCCCGGTTTCGAGTTACAATATCCCGATACAGTCCGGACACACCAAACACTAATTGGTAAAAGGCTTTCTTCTAAAGTGACCGCAAAATCGGCTTCGAAATTTGACGGAAAAGCAGCCTCTAATTGCAGCAACTCCGTCTTGAACTTTTGCAAAGGGCCCCTTCTAAACGCGTCCTGCGGTATTTAAATAATCTTTCTTTCTGCTAATTCATCCCGATCTGATAACCAATTACAAACCCTTAGTAACTAAACAACCCAACCCATAGGCTGTCCCATAACGCGTGAATTCCCAGGTACCTACGCCACTCTTTACTCTTTACATTTCTACGAAATTAATTAAAACGCCACGTTAGTTCTAAACAATTACCGTAATCTTTTCTAGAATAAGCGAAAAGCTTAATAAATCACATCGGAGCTGTCACAAACGCATTAACGAAACATAATTGTTAGCGAATCATTTTCCTTTTACAATAAAATAAACAAGACTTTGACGACAAACCCGATTCGCAAAATTGTTTGTATTAGTTCGTAAATAATCCCAACGAAGCTGCTCACTGATCAGCATTCATTTTAATGACCATTTAATTAATGATTACACCAGCATTCATTTCAAATGCCTAGATCCAAACCTCAACGTCCTAATCTGACATTGTTTACACAGCAATAATTAGTTTGATTCATAAAAAGAAGTAAAAAAATGCAATGGCTATCTAGTAATCACGTGTCCATGCTAAATTTGATCCTTATCTAAGCTATCACTTGTTATACCTACTAATAACTTCCTGGTTCATTCTCCTGTTCAAAATATACTTACGCCTATGAATGGTAAACAAAATTTTCCAACCAAAGGTATTTATCATCATTTTTCAATTAATGGAACAAAATAACCAAAATCATCCGTGGTTTGGATTCGATTTTTATCAATAATTATAATAGTAGGGGAGCTAGCTCGAAATACACTGAAAGAGAGTGATCAAAGTTTTAACCGATCGAGTTATTGTTTAAATTTTTCTGTAATTATAAGATTATCTTATTATCTCATTATTATAAAATATCTTATAATTAAAGAAAAAATTTAAAAAAGAAGCAGTACATATCATTAGTCTGTAAAAAAAAGCTTCATTCATCCAATCGTAACCTAGTTATATCCGTAGAAAGTTCGTGAAAAACCGTAATAGAATTGTTGTTTAAATTCCTAGCCATACGCCGTTGTATACAACATTTTATTTAACGCACAATGCGTTATTCAATGACGTCACTTGCTTTTAACCAGCCGTTACTATTCGCGATCCGAAAAAATTCTTTGTTTATCACAATGAGCTTTTTTGAATCCGGTTTTTTATTTGAAAAACGATTCTCCGACTCAAAAATGTTCCTTCGCGTATATTTGACCACTTGTAAATAAAATACCACTCGGATAGATTGTCGACCGCGAATCATTTTTTTCCACACACCGGTGTTGGTACGTGATCGGTCGCGAAAGTAGCTCTTCAACTTCTCTAGCTATTTAAATATCACCCGTTAGAAGTCCTGAAACGGAATCTATGTTCTGAACGCAACGACCTCGACTAGCGACCTTTTCAAGCGAATAATAAACCTGCATTCTTGTTCCTTTATATCGCTTGTTATCGCCAGACATAATTTTGCTCATGTTCACTATGAAGTGGTATATTTGTACCTAAATGTTTCTATGTTAAAATAAATATTTAAAACCACGTTTTTGAAATTGAACGACGAGAAGTGAATTTTTGCTGACAAGTTACGTACGTTAGGTGACCATGGACCAAGGGGGAAACAATTAACGTGAACCAATTTGAATTAAAGTGAATTAATTTGAGTTATATAAAATGAGTTAATTTGAATTAACGTGCACTAATTTGAATCAACGTGAATCAATTTGAATTCAAGTGAATTAATTTAAATTAGAGTAACTTAAGTTGGATTTACGTTAATGAACTTGAATTAACGTGAATTTGTTTCTGTCCCAGTAATTCTCCAAACTTATCATTTCCGGCATCTAGTTTTTCCTCTGTTATCATTATTACTGCGTCATCAGTGTATGCCAGGGATCATATCTTCCTCCCTCCACCTTGATTCTGGTTTAATATTTTCGACCATTAAATATTCCTTGATTATGTGTAACAATTAAAGTCACATTTTGTTCATATCCCTCAACAATCTTAAAAAATGCGCTTCTAATCTCCTAGTCTTCAAATTTAAGTAATTTACGAATTCCCTTACATTCATTCAAAGTACATTGCTATTGGCGGGTTATAATAATAATAACAATGTTTATTTCCACCAAAAAAAACAGAAGAGGTGAAAAAAATATACATTAAAAAAATACAAATAATAAAAAAATGCAAACACAAATACTCGTATATATGTATATTTATTGTTCGTGCAACCATATTTTTCTTTTTATAAGCACTTTTTTCAAAACCAAAAATCACAATTAAATGAAAACTCGAAAAATTGCAGTTCCCTCCCATTAATTTATTTAAAATATCTTGACCACCAAAACCACCAAGAAAACAATTTAGGAATTGTGGAATATTGCAATTTCTGCAATATGCTGATCTTTTTTTCATTGATCTTCTTCTCCCTCCTATCCAAATCCTTCAACAGACTTTTAAAAAAAATGGCTCTTGCGTGGAAATTACTCATTGTCTATCATTATCAGAAGTTTGGTGCAAAAGTTATTAATGTAGTAGGTGTATGCAAGGGTATACAGGGTTGCATGTAACATAATGGAACACGGTTCTCCTGCTGAAACGGTTTTACGTATTGACTGGCGGTTTGGAGTATTTCAGTAAGGAATTGGTACGCATGTTTCGGATTGAAAAAGTAATTTCTTCATTGTCCCAATTTTGAATTTAAATGACACATCATTTTCATTCCGTCACATGCATATATTGCATAACAATGTCTCTGCAAATCAATATCTCAAACCGTTTCAGTAGGAGAGCATTGTTCCATTTTATAGCAACCCATTATGTTTAGTCGAAAGTCGAGCTTCATATAAAAATTCGGTTGATATTTACTACTTGTTATCCAGCCTCATAAATTAATGACATATCGATCTAAAACAGGCAGAACCTTGAAGTGTATTCGTGTGATTTTATGTACAGGGTGATACGTTACGAATAAAAAAAAAGTTTCAAGACAAAATTTACTGCTTTTCCAATGCAGTGGCTTACAAACTATTAGACAAACATTCTCCTTCGCTTTGTCTCGGCTGCTTATACTGAAACAAGAAATCTCGATCGCCATTACTATACAAAACTAGTATCTCTTACGTGTATTTGCACGATCCGTGGCTTAGATGACTGATTACTGTCGCCGATCTGCAGATTTGACTGTGAACTGTCTCCTTTATCTTCAACTTCACCTTCAGCATCTTCAATGATCGAGTAACTTTTAATACGCCTAGGACTCTCACCGCCAAATTCCAAGAATGTCTCAACCGTTGAAGAAGCCCGCTTCGGTTTGCGTATTCCTTCAAATTCTTCAATTCTGCTTCTGACCATTGCATGTGTCACTGGGAACTCATCTGAGCTCCTCTGATTTCTAAAGTTCACAGAATTCAGCACCCCCGCATTATTTTGCTGCTCAAGAATGTTCTCCCACTGCAACACGTACTTTAGCGACGAAGTTTTGGAGACTCGTCGCAATTTAAGTCGCAATTTCTCTTCGGCAAGTTCGCCCGCTTCCGCTTTCTTCTGCTCGACTTCGATATCGTCCAGCCGCTTCTTGTGGTGGCCGAGCCTTTCCAAGTGATGCCTCATTTGGTCTAAATGGTGAATTATCTCCGTCTGATGATCTTCGATTAGATTTTTAACCGACTTGTCCAGCGTAAGGGTATTCCATTCGTACTTGATGCTATCTTCCAACTCGTCTAGTTGGTATTTTAATTTGCTCTGCATGCGTGTAACGTTTCGTCTTTCCTTGAATGACATCTGAGTTATTTGCTGCGAATTTCATACGTACCAAATTTTGAAAAGTAATTATGTCACATATTTGATGTTTATATTAATCGTATTGACAGTGAATTTGCTAGTAACGCCATTATCCGCATACTTGATGTCCTTATCGCGGTTTAGATAATGGTAACTAAACATTACGGTACTGAAGGTAGGTACCTACGTGATGAATTTTATCAGGAGTAAATGGAAAGACGTCGTGGATTGATAATGGGTAAAGGAAAGATGTACTCCTTTTTGAAAGGGGAAGGGAAAGTTCTATTAGAGTGCCAATTTGAATGACCATTCATAATTCTAAATACTGATAAGGATACCTATTCAAATTTCAATGACCGATTATTTTGCTCCCACTTCTTTTTGTAAAATTCTTCAATGGATTTTTTCCTTTAAAATCAGTAGATGAAGATAATGAAATGTCATGAGATTCTTTAAAAAATATGTTGTTGAAGAGTTGTGCACAAACGTCTCGTTTTTTGTTAGATTAGATTAATTACATTCTGAAGCACGGTCATCCTTTCATTGAATCGGTACATTAGGTAGAGCAGTTTCAGGAGTAGATTTTCCAGTACATAACAGTGTAGAAAAAATGTCGTAGGGAAATTTGGAGGAAACAGCTTGTTTTATGATAAAAAAGAAGATAATGTTTTGGGCCTGTTAAGTTGAACCGTTTCCAAGATCTCACGATTTCTGAAAAAAAACACCTCTTTTTCAAGGGGATCGAAAATCTATTTTTTTTCATCGTACAGAGGTGCGCGGGGTAGCAAAATTCGTGAAGACTTATATTTTAATAAACAAAAATAAAAAACATATTCCTATAGCAAAAATTCAAGAAAATCGCCAAAAACTGAAAAAACAGTTTTAAGATATACACGGTTTTTGAGTTGATAAATCAACATGTTGGATGTTAATAAAGATTTTTTCGAAATCTGTCTTCTTGCTCCTCTTAAATATTCTCTTTTGTTATCTTATGCTCAACTGTTTTTATTAATACATCTTTATTATTTCTTTTTTCTGCATTTTCACCGCAAAAAAGCAATTCGAAATCAAATCGGATTATTTTGTTTCCTGATTTGTGAACAATTTCTTTTTGTTCACTGACTCTTCTTCCTGCCTGTTTTATAGCTGATGCAATTGCGTTGGGCCTGTTGATAAACATGCAAAATCTGCAATAAGAACGTTAGTTTTACCGGCTAAAGCAAATGATTTGAGATGTAAAACCCGGAATAAACTTTATGAGGATTTTATTCCTGTAAATTAACGATCAACAGGCCCACCAGAATCCCGTCAGCTTTAAAACAGGCAGGAAAAAGAGTTAGTGACCAAAAACAAAATTGTTCAGGAAGCAAGAGAATTCGATTTTACTTCGATTTGCTTTTATTGGGGTAAAAATGCAGAAAAAAGAAATAATAAAGATGTTTAATTAAGGTAGTTGGGCACTAGGAAACAAAAGAAAATATTTTAGCAACATTAAAGAGGAGAGAGATTTCAAATTTCAAAAACTTCCCACATAGCAGACCTATATACATTGCATATACCATGTACATTCCACGTGGGATATTGTATATCCATAGAATGTGGAAAAGTATGTCGCAAATGTCCGATGTATGTGCATGTTATATAAGTTTGGAAGACTTCACACAATACATAGTATATACGTTTTGGATGTCTTATGTATATGCATGTATATGCATCAGACATGCAATGTATATTGGTATACTGACAAATGGATATATCATGAATATTCCTGTAATATGCAAAAGATTTTCAATAGGATATTCTATGTATGTTGTATACATTCAGAATGGATGTTCTATTCAAATCCTTTCAAGTATTCAAATACTTTGTAATTAAATACTTTTATGGAAGCAGTATTTGTATTTGTAACTCAAATACTTTCACAAATATTTAGTCAATTTTGAAAGAAAATTCAAAGGGCTGTAACTTTTGAACTAGAAGCCCAATCTTGGAACTGTTTGAAATTATGGATTCTACAGGCCACATTCTATAAGAAATTTTTTTTTCCGCGTCGTTCTGAGACAATTTTTTTTCGGGCCTCAAAAAAAGGCAGTGTATAATCTTCCTTTTTTACCAAAAATCGACTGCACCAAAATTTCTCGGGAAAACACTTTTTCTTATTAATTTTGGTGCGTAGAATCCAAAACAATTCGTACTTTTTCGATCAGACTTCTCAATCAAAAGTTATAGACTAGAAAAGAAACCAATTTCGAAAGAAAATTCAAAGGGCTGTAACTTTTGAACTAGTAGCCCAATCTTGGAACTGTTTGAAATTATGGATTCTACAGGCCACATTCCATAAGAAAATTTTGTTTCAGGGTCGATCTGAGACAATTTTTTTTTCGGGCCTCAAAAAAAGGCAGTTAAAAAAATTCGACTACACCAAAATTTCTCGGGGAAACACTTTTTCTTATTAATTTTGGTGCGTAGAATCCAAAACAATTCGTACTATTTCGAACAGACTTCTCAATAAAAAGTTATACACTAGAAAAGAAACCAATTTCGAAAGAAATTTCAAAGGGCTGTAACTTTTGAACTAGTAGCCCAATCTTGGAACTGTTTGAAATTATTACTTTTACTCCCCTTAAATTTGTATATAACAATAGAAATATAAAAAAAGCTAACCCCATACAAAGTATAACTTGATTTTTTAAGTAGTATTAAGACTTTTACATTTTTAATGTATTTGAGTGACAAGTATTTGAATACTTTTCAAAGTAAGTTAACGAAATACTTTTCAAAGTATTAGAATACTTTTGAAAGTATTCGAATGCATTCTAAAGTATTTGAATACTTATTTTTTAAGTATTTGAATACTTTTCGATGTATCTGTATCTAGTATTCGCTTGTGCTGGACGTTAAAGTATTTAGTATTCAAATACCTTTGATTTGTGTAAAGTATTTACTATTTAGTATTCAAATACTTTTTGAAAGTATTCTGCCCAGCTCTGGTCTATACATTCATAAATAAATTCTTTTCACGGAGTGGAGCTTTTTGTTTATTAAGTCTCTTAGTGTACAATGGAAAATGTGCTTATGAAATGATTATTGTTTTATTTAACACGGTATTCTTGATTCATCTTGATCGTGTTCTTGTTGAACACTATAATAGCGAGAGTTCATAACAAATAGGTTGCTAACATACCTGCCATTTTTGTCCTTATATTAATTCCCATCCAGTCTTTACATCTCACTAACACATATTTGCAACTTTAGATCATGCACACACGAAATAAAAATCATTACTTTCACTGTCAAAATTAGACAAACACACTCATTAATAACTCGCAGAATAACACTCCTGATTTTAGAAAAATGAGCTGTATTTGCAATAGCACCTTACTATCTTCATCGCCGTAATTCACAGAAAATGAGACGCTAACGTTTGTAACGTCGGTAATACAGAACACGCATGTATCAAATCCAAAACGCATATACATAACATATAATCCCATGTATATACATAGCACATCCAAAATGTATATTTATAGAATATCCATACTGAACATAAAATACATATGCCTATCCTATAATGAATATACATAGTATATACATAAGATGGACAGGATATTCCCTGTACATTATGGATTTAAAATGTATATACATAAGATATCGAATGCTATGTGGGTTATTATTAGCGCGGATCCAATACGTTAATTTATTTGCAAAAAAAGCTATTTACCCACTGTCAAAATCGGTAGGTATATCTTCAATCTGTTCCCCCCGTTTTTCCCGCTTTTCTTAAAATTTTTCTATTGGAATAATATTTTTTATTTTTGATTATTAAATTGTAAGTCGTTACGAAAATTTTGTTACCCCGCGCACCTCTGTACGATGAAAACAAATAGATTTTTCATCCCTTTGAAAAAGAAGTTGATTTTGTTTCAGAAATCGTGAGATCTTGGAAACGGTTCAACTTTACTGGCCCAAAAAACTATCTTCTTTTTTATCATAAAACAAGCTATGTTTCCTCCAAATTTCAAACCCCTACCACATTTTTTCGCAAAAATAAGAATAAAAAACGAAAAAAACAGTGTTTCCGGTTTTTCTAGGAAAATTGGAGGTTATGTGAAAATAGTGCAGATACCAAAGTTGCTCATTTTTTTTTATCTCTATAAATTTTACATTTAACATTTTCGTCTAAAATTAATAGTTTTGCCACAATTTGCAAAACACCACTTTACACCCCTTTCAACCCCCGGGTTTTCACCCGCGGAAAAATTCAGCCGTTTTAATTATATTTTTCCAATTTCTATTCATTTCACCTGCCTGAAAACCCCGGTTTCGCCCGGTAACTAATTTTTTTTGAAAATAAATTATTTTAGAGCTATTTAGCCTTCAATATAATCGTTCTGGTTTTTGGCATAAAATTGAAAATGAGTTTGCGTTTTTGTCAATCCCACCATCAACACTCGTTACTAATCCCATTGAAAAGATAATGATCATTAAAAGAAAGAACGTTCGCAAATGCTTTAACCGTGTATTGGCATATTTCCGTTAAGGGCTGAAGGTACGATACATCTAATGAAATATTTATAATTTATTACAAACTGATAACTCCGAACCTGTATTGTAATTGGGTAATGTAATTAATATAGATAGGTACCTAAATTAGATTGAGGAATCGCTGCATAATCCGATTAAACTTTTCCTCAAAACGTCGGTACTCAGGTGTTGGACATTAAAGTTTTTAATGTTAGAAGACAGCATCTTCATGTGATATTGTGATGTAAATAAAATTTACGTAAAAAGAAAAATTGGGTTGCCTAGAATTTGGATTTATATTTAATTTTACATCACACTCGGTTGGCGCTTAAATAAATCCCCTTTCCATTGCATGAATCATTAAACCCACATTAAAATTAGTAGCCTCAAACCAAAATAAATCAGTGGGAAAAATGCCGCGCGCCTAACTCGAACTTGTCGCTCCAGATTTTATTGGGAAGCGTAGTATTTTTCGTTAGTATAGGAAATGCATATCTCTTCTCTTCCTGTGCGCGATTATTACGATTGACAGGAACTATGATAGACTACGCTAACGCAATGTCGCTGACAAAATGTAAGTAAATAAAAATAAGGCTAATGCGACAACCCTAATTTATTATTTCCAGAATGGAAAATGTGAGCAAAACGATTTACGATATAAACGAGGGGCTGATAGCTTTGCGTTCCGAAATACGAAAGGTTAACGGTAGGATGGATAAACATCGGCACGCCGTTATTTGCGGTCTGTTATTGGGCAATTTGGTTAAACTCGATAACATTAAAAGAAGCGCCGGTAGCGTAATGGCTCAACGAGAGGCTGACGTTGTTATTAATTATGCTAAGTATCTTAAAACGCTCATTGACGAAAAGAAGACTGAATAGACTTAGTAAGTTTAGTACCTACTTACTCTTGTGATACCTACCCTTAACTGCCTAATAAAATTTGCGATGTTCTAAATTCATTTTTCCAGGACCAAATAGGAGTACCTATACATGAGAGTCCATTTTTTATAAACAGACCGATCCAGTGTCATCCTCCTATCTGTGTATGTGGTTTTAACATTTCCTTCCTGCGAACAAAAACTGTGGTGTGAGAGTGAGATACCCTCTTGACTTTATACACGCGAGCACAGTGCACGAATATCTAATTGTCCCGAAAGAATTCGGTTCCGGTTCCATTAGAAAAAAAGTTATTGCACAGGTTCTCGAGAAGGAAGATAATCGTCGGCTTCTTTATTTTGACGCTGCAAAATTTCTTGACTGGAAGTAAATTTGAATGATTTTGATTTATAGGAGAACTTGCAGATCTCCCCTACTAATTTTAACATGGGAATTGTTTATGGTTTCGTAGGTATATCGTACCAGAGCCGTCCTTATAGGGTGGAGCGAGTGGAGCGGCCGCTCCAGGCCTCGCCCTTAGGAAAAGGCCTCGCGCAAAGCCTAAACTCGCGCCAAAAAATAAGTAAAAGTTTTGGTTGAATGAAAATAATATAATTATGTACAGATATGCGTGACTAAAATATGCAGGGTGTTCATTTGAAAATATTCCACCATATATATTTATCGAAAACCACTGATTAAAGGAAAAAACGCCGAAACACGTAAAAAAATGTGTCTTGTTAAGGGGGACAACCTTTTAACCAAAAACTACTTCATCCCCTTTCACCCTCTGCCCCCCAGGGCTATCCCTTAAAAATTTTAAATGATAAGTGGTATCGAGTAATAGCAAACAGGGGTACTTTTTGGTAATAGCTTGTTTGAAAGGTCTTTCGAAGTCCTTTATTTTGACGTTTGATTTTTAAAATCGCTAGATTCGTTTTCGAGAAAATTAGAACAATTTCCACTCTTTCGGCTAGTGTCAACCATTTTGGCAGTAAAATCTGAATCAATAAATTAATTTTCTCTATCCCAAGATTGTCACAAAGGACAGCAAATTTCTTCTTTCCAATAGCAACAAATAAGTGATGCAGCTCCACCAAGCAAACAAGTCCGGCGGAAAATTTGCAAACTAATTTCAGAAATTCGTGGCGAGAAAACTTTAAGCCTTTATACCTACAACGAAGGCGTAAAAAATACGACAGTGACAAATGTATAAATTAAATGTTTATGTTGAATCGGCTTGCTGCACCAATTTTATCCGTACGGCAAGAAAATAGAAAAAATCCTGTGCATTCCAAAGCCTGAAATATTATTAAAAGGGTCCCTGGTATACTTAGACAAAAAAAAAGCTACCAGTGTGTGCTGTGTGCATTTTTCCTTTGGGAAATGCTGTACAGAACTAGCTGCTGTTGCAACCAGCAAATCTACAGAATTCATAACTAAATTTAGGTAATGTGCTTGGTACAGTGACGGATTTAAATTTTTTGCGCCCCTACGCACACCGGCACCCCTCCAAAAATAATCTTAAAATTGCAGTACATTTTAAGATGCTACTAAAATTCACATTATAACTTGAAATTTTTAAAACTAATATGAAAAGAAATACAGTATAGGTACCTAAGATTAAGTTTTCACACACGTCAAAACTTGAATTGTCGATTATAGTTCTTACAGTTACAGTTTCTTTAAACTATCTACCAATTCCAATTTATTTCATAATTTTAATTAAAATTTTTTGTTATTTGTAACTTGTTAGGGGACTAAAACTTAAAATATTACCTAAAATAAATATAGTGCAAAAAATGCCACCCTCTAAAGCTGCCGCCCCTAGGCACGTGCCTAGTGTGCCTATATGTAAATCCGCCACTGGCCACGAAGATTCTCAAATCAGTGAAGAGGAAAGTGACGACGATACTGTTTAATTAGTTAATTTCCCGCAAACTGAACCGTCCATGCACATTTCACATGCCTTTTTAATTTCAATTTATTTTATTATAGTTAACCGCCTGGCCGCCAACGACACATTGCATATTGATTTGTATCGAATAAGTTTGTATTTACAATTATTGATTTATTTAATTTTGTATTGCGATAGGGAGTAAAGCTTTTTATTTCTCTGTTTATTTGCTCCAAACGACCAAGCCTTTGTACGCTACATATATTTAATTGGTCCTTTGAGCCGAATATGCAGGATGCTGTGTAGCTTCTGTATTTTTTTGTTAATTTTGTTGGTGTTTTGGAGTCCATGTCCGAACCCGGATTCGAACAAGGGACCCTTAACACCACAGTTCATCTTTAACTGAACAGCACCACACGGACCGGCTGAACAGCACCACACGGACCGGCTATCTTATTCTGACTTACCAGTAGAATACGGTCACTTATGAGGTTTCGTCGACCCCTTACTTGGCCATCCGCACATTGTTAAAATTGGCGAAAATCGGGAAATTCCAATTTCCCTTGGCTGCTCAAGCTATTCGCAACATGGATGATTTAATCTGTGAGGCTTCGTCAGTGGTGGATGCGCAAGAATTGATCCGTCAATTAATCGCGCTGTTTTCGTGGGGACATTTTGAATTTCGAAAATGGGCATCTAATTACCGTTTAAAATTGTGACGATCCATAGGGCCGAATGGGGTGCTTAACGAAACTTCGGAGAAATAACACCAAATCTCCCCATAACAATTCCAATAAATAAACTATTACCTGTCGATGAATTGCTCCATTTCTTGGAATTATAAGGGTGCAATAATTAAACTTGAATGTAGCAGTATACTTATAATTGTTAAATGTTTTCTTTAGGTAATCGATTTCGGCCCTAGGCCATCGTCAGACCTAGCGTCATAACAAATTTTTATGACGCTAGGTCTGACGATGGCCTAGGGCCGAAATCGATTACCTAAAGAAAACATTTAACAATTATAAGTATACTGCTACATTCAAGTTTAATTAAACTATTACCTACACGGGTTACACTGACATGTTTCGGAAAACAGCTTGCTTCCATTATCAAAGTGTATATTACACAGTACTAGAAGACTACAACATTTACGAGGAATTAAACTAATTAAACACGCATAAATGCAAAATTTTACATAGCGAAAATGGTATTATTACAACTTACAATTAAATTTAAATTTATTCGCCCCAAAGGGCCCCAACAAGACAGCTAATTTTCGCTATGCAAAATATTGCATATGTGTATTTAATTAGTTTAATTCCTCGTAGATGTTATTGTACTACCGTTGTGATATTCACAGTGGCGTTATTAAGGGTCAACAACGCCATAAGCCCTAACGGATTTTGCGCCCATATCAAACACAAGATTTTTGAATAGTCAATAATGAACCAACTTTTACGAAGTTATCAAGACAAAATAAAATACTGTAACGTAAATTTAATAATGTGATTTATTATTTACAAATAATTAATCATAAATTTATGACAGTCTTGAAATGAATTGAATTATAACAGTTAACATATTATTTATCACTTAAATATACACAAATTGTAACAGCGCAAACTATTTACTACTTCAGCGTTGAAATTGTAACTGACTGGAACACAATTCGATTTGCTTATGTAGCAAACGCCCCTGTTTCTCGACAGTTTTCCAAACGAGTATTATAAAACAAAACACGGTATATTTTTATCGCCGATGACTGATCTTTTATGGCGCCTCGATGTCTATCGGGATTTCTAAAATATTCACTAATTCAACTTTTTTCTTTTTAAAGGTACGTACAAATATACAGGATTTCCGGGGCGGAGCTATAAGTTTCAAACGAGCGAAGAAAAAATCTGAGAATTTCGGGATCAATAAAGGGCGAGATAACGGGTCATAAAAATTCCATTTTAGATGGTTTAGAACTTTCATACGCTGGGGAGTTTTGTTGGTGATTTGATAACGCCAAAATTTTGAAATTGCAGCCCTTGACCAGTTTCACCAAAAATACATTACCGATCTTACACCACTCGATTTTTTCTTGTGGGGGTTTGCAAAAAAGTGTATGAAACAAATCTATCTAGATATAATAAATGATTGTAGGGTTCAAAATTCCAATTATGTTTTGGGAATGTGTTTCTTTTTTAATAGCTTTCAAAATGGTTTGTGGTGAATTTTTCATCTGTGGCAGAGATGGGAATTTCCTTAGATCACTATCGAGCATTCTGCCGGCTACTCCGAATTAGGTTTTTCTGCAGTTTTCCTAATTCGTAAGGTAAATACTGGAGTTGTATAGAACAACTTAAGACCTTCTGCAGGGGCACCTCTAAAAAGCATTATGTTGAGGGCCTAGAACAAGAGGGACAATAAATAAATAAATAAATAAATAAATAAATAAATAAATAATTAAATAAATAAATAAATAAGTAAATAAATATATAAATAAATAAATAAACAAATAAATAAATAAATAAATAAATAAAAATCAGGTCAAACTCGACCCCCTACAAAGACTGTATTTATTATTATGTGCATTGTGGTTCAGAGGTTTCAATTATTGGAGTGGTGCTGGTGAATAACCTGCTCGATTGGATGGGGGATGCTGTCTCCATCTATGAACGTGTTAGAATGCTACGTATCTTCTCTCGCGCCCCTGCCTTGCGATACGTTGAACTTTTATGCGCATTTTGAATTTTTCGTATAAGTACCTAATGTTTTGTTCGCTCCTTTTTTTGTGCCCCTAAAATTCCAGCGCTCTAAGCCCGGTCTTTGTCGGCTTATAGGTTAATACGCCACTGGATATACATTTTGATAATGCAAGCAGCTGTCTTCCGAAACATGCCAGTGTAACCCGTGTAACAGTTTATTAACGAGCTCCTAGCGAGTTTATAATTTTGCGGTGTCTGTCCGTCCGCCCGTCCGTCCGTTAGCACGATAACTCATAAAAGAATGGACCGATTACGACGAAATTTTGCAGGTGGATTCAAAAAAATAAAGTGTTGCACGCCGTGGACAACGCATAACAGTTTTTAGTGATTGTGGCACTGTGTAGGGGCAAGCAGGAAGTTTAATCGCCTAATGAAACAAGGATCTGATTCAGAGTCCACCTCGTGGTCCTTTAATCCCCCTTTGGCTCCACTTTTTGGCGGGGTTTGGGCTTGACGTTAAACCGGTGAAACGTTGATGAATAGGGGTCCGTTAACTTGGCCCCCCCCACTGAGAGATTTAATAGTCGTATTATTTTGAAATGAATGCGCTCGTTATGCGCTCATATGCGCCACCGTTAATAACTCTTGCGCCATTATCGTTTTTTAGAAATCCGAAAAAACATTTGGGGGGGGGGGGGCAAGTGAACGGAATCCCCCAATACGCATTTTGCTACCGGTATTTGTGCCACTTGATACATCTGGTTATGAGCTCAATTGCGCCACTTGAATTAAAGCTAGCGCCATTACGGTTAAGCCATAAAAAATTTTTAAAAAGTGGAGGGTCTAACTTAGCGTTTTCAAAAGTTATTTCCGGAAGTGCGTCCATTTTGAAAATATTTTACATCGATTCGGCCTTCGGAGTAACTCCTAAACACAAATTTTTAAAAACCTACCTATTTTACTTTCCCAGAATCGTTTAACTAAAGCTCCCAAAAAAACACCCTGTATAGTGTTTCTGAAACACTATAATGGCGCCAAGATTTTTGTTTACGGCGCATTTTAGCGCATGATGAATGAAAGGTACGATGTAGTAGAAAAAAACATGTTTTAAAAAACGTAACTTTTGAAAACGTTAAGTTAGCCCCCCCACTTTTTGAAAATTTTTTATGGCTTAACCGTAATGGCGCTAGCTTTAATTCAAGTGGCGCAATTGAGCCATAACCAGATGTATCAAGTGGCACAAATACCGGTAGCAAAATGCGTTATGGGGGATTCCGTTCACTTGCCCCCCCTCCCCCCAAATATATTTAAGGAATATCCAAAAACAATAATGGCGCAAAAGATATCTTTTTACGGCGCATTTCAGCGCATACCTGAGAGTTCAATTTCGTATGAAAAGATGTTAAAAAAAAAGCAACTTTTAAAAAACGTTAAGTTGGCCCCCCCACTTTTTTGAAAATTTGTCACGGCTTAACCGTAATGGCGCTAGCTTTAATTCAAAGTGGCGCAATTGAAGCGCATAACCAAATGTATCAGGTGACCTAGTTACAAGGGACAAAATACGTACTGGGGGGGGGGGGCTACGTTCACTTGCCCCCCCCGCCCCCCCAAATGTTTTTTCGGATTTTCTAAAAAACGATAATGGCGCAAGAGTTATTAACGGTGGCGCATATGAGCGCATAACGAGCGCATTCCATTTCAAATAATACGACTATCAAATCTCTGCAGTGGGCGGGCCAAGTTAACGGACCCGATGAATAGGGAGTTGGCAATCAAATTTTTCCGCTTAGGAGACTTAAATACACTTTTTGATCAAATTGAGGTTCGCGTCCCTTGTGCCCTGTTAGTTCAGATCAGAATGATTTTACCAGTTTGACTCCGGGGAGATATCCTGACGCTGGAACCTTAATCTGCACCCCCCGATTCTGATTTGTCCCATTAATCAGTCACGTTTGTCGCGATGTCAGCTAATTCAGGAAATGTGGCAATCATTTTGCTCTCGTTGGAAAAATGAATATCTGCATAATCTTTTATCAGAAATTCACAGTTTTTCCGCGCAATCCATGCAACGATCGGGGACATTGGAAATATAATTGATCCGCGGGTAAATAATTGATTTTATTTGTGTTTTAATATGGCGTTATACGGTGTATCATTTTCCAGGTCTTCCGATCTATTGCGAAAATCAAGTGAATTTGTTGTTATTTTATTTATTTTAATTAGTTAACGCACGGCTCCCGCCACACACTTCATTTGATTTTATTTAATTTTTATTTGCGATAGGGAGTAAAAAGCTTCTGCAGATACTTTTCTGTTCATTTACCCCAAACGACCAGCCTTTGTACGCTAACAAAATAGTTATAGTTTGCTTATCAAAAAAGTACGGAAATTTGTATAATCAAAATAGTCATTACTACACTCGCCTATAGGTTTTCGAGCGTGTTGCATTTCCAGATGGATGCATAGGTTATTTGCAACCAAAATGGAATGACCCTCGTAACTAAATTCGAATCTATATTTAA